CTCCCCATTTTTTCTGTAAATAACTTGAGTTGGGTTTATGAAGATCGGGCTTTTGAGCTGGGTTTTGGGTCATGTTGGGTTGACAAGGCTGTTAATGGCATCTGGGTTTTGGCGGTGAAAACTAAGGATAAAATTTAGGTGAAAAGGAGGTTTTTTTTGTTGAAGGTCTGAGGACTTCTGGACTGAAAAATGCAAAACCAAGAAAGAAATGGAAATGAGTGTCGAGAGAGAGAGAGGCTGATTGTTGTTGTCCATGGATTTTCTGAAGAAACTGAGAAAAATGCAAAACCAAGAAAGAAATGGATTTGAGGTGCCGAGAGAGAGAGAGAGAGAGAGAGAGAGAGAGAGAAGAAAAAAAAAATTCTTTGTTTTTTTATTGGTTTTTTAAAATATTTTATTTATATTTTAATCATTTTAAAATTTTAAAAAAAAAAAAAAAAGTGGGACTCATGGTGCCACGTAAACAACTAACGGAGAGATTTGACGAAAACCTAATGGTGGAACCATATTGTAACAAATTTAAAAGACCAGGTTATGTTATTGTAAAAATTAAAAAGATAGGGACTGAGAGTATCCACAGTGGGGGGTGTATATGGGGGTGTATGTTAAATATACACCCCGAGTCACCGGAATCGTCTCCAATGGGGAGATGTAAATGGATGTAAATATACATCACCACCATGTAGATATAAAATAAAATGTACATTTACATCTATTTTTACATCTTTTGTAGACGGGACCCACCCGAGAAAAGAGAAGAAAAATGAAGAAAAGTCAACATAAAAGGCTGAGACCCGTGGCTACAATAATTGCTGGAAAAAAAAATCACATGTTGTTTGCTCATTTGTGGTTTTCATGCTCCCTCCCCAATGTTTTTGGATGAAATCATATCTTCTCCAAATTTAAATATTTTTAGGTCTATTTTTTTGAAAAATTAAAATTAACCTAATACAAAAAAAAAATTATAAAGTAAACATAAAATACAAATTTAAAACAAAAACGAATTAAGACAAACAAAACAACTATACATCTTGGATTTACATCTTTTCCCATTGGAGCAAAAAAGGTATTCACACCTCCCGGAGGTGTAAAGGAGATGTAAAAGTGGCTTTACACCCCCGAATTTATACCCCCCACCATGGATGCTCTAACAAGTCTTAAGGGTGTGACCACAAAATAATAAACAGTAATTAACCCTAAACCATTTAAAATCTATATAAAAGAAAACGAATGATTAGCCAAATGTTTCTTTATTCTATAAAAAATAAATAAAGGACCATTTAGTTTCCATGCAGAAGACTAATGGATGCTGTCCTCCATGACATGTTGAAAAAGAAATTTTTTTTTTTAAAGAGTCAGGGTGAGGTGGAGTCTTGGACTCATCTTCTCCACTTGTCGATTAAATTGATTAAAATGTGGAGCTTTTGGGGCTGCTTTGCATGCAAGTCTTCATAAAAACAGCGAATACTTTGTAGAACTTCTGTTGTCCAGTGACTAAGGGTTTATACCACGTAACTTTATTTGACCCATAAATAGTTGGGAAATTACAAGTACTGCCAGAAGGGTTCATAAGTTTTACAAAGTCCCGACTCCCATTCACTATCACGCGAAAAACTCCACAGTTTATTTATTGTAAACGTTACTCTTCCACAACAGTTTATTATAAAAATTATAATAGGAAGAGGGAGAGAATGATATCCTTTCAAATTATAAAAATTGTAACTTAACATTTGATTAAGGCAAAACCTTCACGAGCCAATTCCCCAGATTTTTGTATTGGAAAAACTAAAAAAAAAAATTCAAATTCAAATAATTTAACGAGGTTGGTTAATAATGTCAAAGGTTGATAGGGTGAACGTCTCTCTACCCCATTCACTGTCAAGGCACGAGCTTTTCCCAAAGCAAACAGCCTACCCCATTCATTATTTTCCATTTTCATAATTATGGGGATTTGGAGATAAGGAATCTCCACCCAAATCCTTATTTTTTTTATTCGAACAGAAAAACATACCTATCAATCACACAAAAAAATAAGTATTTTATTACAAAGGCAAAGGGTGTTCATTAAAATAAGCAATAATCTTGTTTTCCATCATATCTAGCTTTGCTATCTTGTATTTGAATTCTGATGAAAGCAAATCAATTTTCCATGATTCTATCTAATGGTTTTTTCTTTCACTCATCACTAGCTAGTAGGATGAAATTCAATCTGTTAATGGATCATTTTTCTTAAACTTCTTCTATGCCCTATCAACGCCAATTGTCGCCCACCCTCTTCATTTACATCATACTTCATATTGGTCTTTTTATCTTCCAATTACATGTCAATTTTCTTAGAAGATGCTAATAAACAATCCTTAAAAAGTAGCAGGACTCATCAACTCAAACTCTGCAGGCCCAGATTCCAAACCTATAAATTATTTTGTGGAATGTTAGGTGGATATAGGTTGCATGGTTTTTGTTGGTGGCAGCTGCCCTTCTAACATCTGGGACAACAGTGATCCCATGCACATGCAAAAGGTGAAGCATTATATGCTATGACATTATGACATAAACCTTATATAACCACATTGCACCCCTCACTTCATTTAAACCCTAAGCCTAGTCCTTCAACATCCAAACAAGAAGAGGGGGGACCAAAAAAAAATATACACAAAAGTGATGGAGGTGGAGAGAGTGCAGGCCTTGGCCACCAGCGGGCTGAACGAGCTTCCAGTGAAGTTCGTTCGACCAGCCCACGAGCAGCCCGAGAATAGCAAGGCCCTAGAGGGAGTCACGGTGCCCGTGATCTCCCTTGCTCAGCCTCATGATGTTGTGGTCAAGGAGGTGGCAGCGGCAGCCACTGCATGGGGCTTCTTTCTCATTACTGACCACGGCATACCGTCACCTTTGATCCAGCAATTGCAGAAGGTAGGGCATGAGTTCTTTTTGCTCCCACAGAAGGAGAAAGAGGCCTATGCAAATGACCCAGCCAATGGGAGGTTTGATGGGTATGGGACTAAGATGACCAAGAACCATGACGAGAAGGTCGAGTGGATCGACTATTTTTTCCATCTGACTGCCCCTCCATCTAAGGTCAACTATGAAATCTGGCCTAAGATCCCTCCATCTTACAGGTACCTTTTCTGTTTTTATTTATTTATTGAGTTTTCAGTTTTTTTTAATTGCTTTGATGTTTCAGCAGTTGCCACTTGGGTTCTTTATTGCTCTTTACCTAGGATGATACTTGCCCTAACTTTTTAATATTCCTTTTTGCATGTAAGGCCAACTGTAGGAGGGTTATAAAGTCTTTTCCTCTTCTTTTTTTTTTCTTTCTGAAATTAAGAGGGTTATTGAAAAAGTTTTTAAAATTTGTGTGACACAGGGAAGTGAATGACCAATACAACAAGGAGATGCTAAGAGTAACAGACAAGTTACTGGAGGTGCTTTCAGAGGGTCTAGGGCTGGAAGCAAAGGTTCTGAAATCTCATCTGGGAAATGAAGAAGTAGAATTGGAAATGAAAATCAACATGTACCCTCCATGCCCACAACCCCAACTGGCCCTAGGAGTTGAGCCCCACACTGACATGTCAGCCCTAACCCTGCTAGTCTCCAATGATGTTCCAGGCCTTCAGCTGTGGAAAGATGACAACTGGGTTGCTGTCAATTACTTGCCAAATGCAGTTTTTGTTCACATTGGTGATCAGATGGAGGTCTTGAGCAATGGCAAGTACAAGAGTGTTCTTCACAGAAGCTTGGTGAACAAGGAACGTATGCGCATGTCGTGGGCTGTTTTTGTTGCTCCTCCGCACGAGGCTGTGATTGGGCCTCTGCCGGAGCTTCTGGAAGAGAAAAACCCTGCCAAATACTCAACCAAGACATATGCTGAATACCGACACCGGAAATTCAACAAGCTCCCACAATAGGAGTGATTTATTCCATTTGTGCCTTGTATCAACCATCACAATAAAATTTCTTCAATGGTCCCAATGGTTCATGTGTTTTGCTGTTTGTTAGAATTTGTGCGTAGTACTTGCATTCTATGAGGGCCTTCACAAAGTCATGTCAGTTCATCTTCATCATCATCAATCTGTATTGTATCATTTGCTCAAATTGTACCATTTCGTCACAATCTGTTGTAAAAATGTTCCATGAATAAAATTTGAATTGTTTCAAACTTTGAATGCCATTATACTTTCTGTAGCTGTTAAATCCAACGATGACCATCAATAATTGTTTTTTTTTTTTAAGGACTTCTTAGATCTAGGTCCAAAACGATTAGTTGTCATTAAGCTAAGTCCTCGTCGTTTTGGTTTTAGATGCAAGTCCTTTGTCTTTTATTACTTTTATTACTTTTTTTTTAGCACATATTTTCTTTATAAATAAAAATAATTGACGTTAGAAAAAAAATTAATAAGATGGTAAGAAAGCTGTGAAATTTTTATGGATAAATTGAATACATTTAATAAGAGTAAACTTGGAAAGCGAAAGTTAGCTTGTATAATATATTAATGACATTATTTTAAGAATAAAGAGAATGACACATGTCAAGCAAAAAAGAGAGAAGGTTAGAGAGAAGGTTGCTAGCATTCCCCTATCTGTTGCTTTCTTTCGAGGATCATCATTTAAAAGACCAGTCCAAGTGTAATAATTTTTTTGGGTTGCAAGTGTGAATTATTTAACCACTTGTTTTCAGCCCATCATCATTCTAGTTTTACTGAACGCATTGTTCTTTTCAATTTATGTTATGATGATTAGATGATCAAAGTAAAACACGCAATATAATCAATTGATACTTGGTCAGCATGTGAAGTGAAACTGAACATTCTTATCAGATGATAATTCTTGTTTTGAACTTCCCAGATGTTAAACTAATTTGTCTAGGTAAAAGCAGGTTTGTTCAACAAGAAAGCGAGAGATAGGAAGGGGAAGAAGGGCAGAGGTTGGTTATCATGAAGGGGAACCTACCCTTTGAGCAAATCATAATCTATTGCCCCATCTACCCACCCTTAACTCGACTTAAATCACTAGCACGTAAAGGGTGGTATATAAAATTCTTACAGATAATCAAGTCCAAAAAGGGAAAAAAAATCAATTTTTATATACAAATTTCAACGTTACCAATGTAATATAAAGATTTGTCCCAAAAAAAAAATGTAATATATACACTGTTTGCAAATACAAAAATAACTCATTCAAATCATAAAAGGAAAAGTTTATATACGTATGTCATATTGTATAATTTGTCTGCTAAATTTTTTATAGAGGAATACGTATGTCATATTTCATTTTTTTTTCCAATATTGTATAAAATTATACAATATTGTAATATGATATACGTATGTCATCTTGTATAAAATTAGACAATATTGTATAACTTGGTCATATTTTTCCTTTTCATTTTTTTCATTCCTCTAATTATTTTTATGTAGTGTACCTTTTCTCTTCCAAGTTAAAAAACATGAAAAGGAAAAATATGTATGTTTTTTTATTATTATTATTATTATTATAATAGTTTAAAAAAGACTTATTTGTTGACATGCATGCCAACTGTGATTTCCAAATAGTCTCAGTTTGCCTCCTGATGTTTTAAATGACTCAATTTCCCCCCTGAACTTCTATTACGTGACCAAGGTTGCCCCATTCATTAGTTTTTAGATAAAACCGTTAAATCACCTAACTTGGCATGGGTATTTTGATAAATTTAACTATTCAAAATTCAAAATAAATATAAATATAAAAAATGCTTGAAATTATTTAAAATAGAGTTAAGATAAAAATATCTCCTTTTTTTCTCCCTCAATTGTTAGCCCCCACCACTTTCTCCCTAATCTCAACCAACCCAAGCAACCACCTTTCCCATCCCCATTCTGACAGGACTCACCCTGAATTTTTCGAAACCCGGGACGAATCCTGTGGAAATCACGGCATCACATCAATGCCGAGCTCACTAACTAAAATTGTAACCTCCTTTTTCAAAAAAAAAGAAAAGGGTAAGGGCCCGTGACTTTCTGCTGAAATTTCGGTAGAGTCTCCCTCGTAAATTGAACATTCCCCAAAAATTCCAACTTGCATAAAACACATTTAATATCCCAACTAGCAGCATGCAGAATATAATTTCATGCAATCCAAATAATCAGCCTCCGGCCTTCACATAACATAAATTAACTTCCCAAATTTTAAGCATGCAACCACTATCATCTAACTTTCCAAACTATCCAACATTCGAGATTTTAACCTCCTAACACAAACACATCTCGTTCTCACTCGAGTAGCAGGACCAACGACAAAGTCCGCATTATACTCAATAAAACCACCTAAGTGAAGTTTAGCTCGCGGCTGCACCTAGGCGCTATCCTAGGCTGCCTACGTACCCTTACTTAAGGATCAAGCCACACGTAGTTCTCTCATACAAAATTTCCAAAACCATCAACGTGCAATTAATTACAAAAATCCCAAACAAACTCTTTTTCAAACATCGTTCGTTCCCAACTTAGGATAATAATCCTTAATTCATCTCTCTAAAAATCACATAATCTCCCCATACGCTGGAACTACCAAAGTCACGTATGGGGCATGTCCGCACGCCGGATAATCTCACAAGCATAACACAATATCCCTCCATATGCCGGTAATACCAACGCCACATATGGGGTCTGTCAACACGTCAGCTACTCTTACGACACGTGCGACCTCACAAGCATAACACAGTATCCCCCCATATGCCGGTACTACAAACGCCATATATGGGGTCTGTCAACACGCCGGATAATCCTACAACACGTGGGACCTCAACATCATGTCACATAATTTCCCCACACGCCGGTATTACCAACGCCACATATGGGATCTGTCATCACGCAGAAAAATCCTACGACACGTGTGATCCCATCATCATATCACAATCTCTCCCCATACGCCGGTACTACCAATGCCACATATGAGGTCTGTCCGCAAGCCGGAAAATCCTACGACACGTGGGACCTCATAATCCCAGGGTGGTACTTACACAGTAAAATCAAACAACTTTATCTCTTGATAATATATTTATATATACTTTCCAATATTGCATAAAGCTCAACCCTAATGTAGCATCCGATAAGCTCCCAACTTAAAACCATAAACTAATATCCTAATCCCACATAACCAACATACAATCAAAACCTGTCACTACGGTCATTTTAATCTTCCTAGGAAGGTAACACTACCTAGGAAGTCTCACAGTCAACCCAGGGTCAAACTACCCAACCTTGGTCAAACCGGCCAACGGGGTCCACGACCTCCAAATTCCTATTTCAAAGTTCCTATAGGTTCTACAAGGTCTAGGACACACGTCCTGTAAGTTTGGTCCAGATCGGACGGTCGGATCGCTCACGATCGGACGGTCACTATAACCCTAGCCCTAGGGTTGGCATTTCTGGAGTATCCGGGACTCCGTTTTACAATCCGTCGAATCCTACACGATTCTAAAGATGTCCAGGTTAACATATATTAAATGGGAGTCAATCCAAAGGTCAGAACCTATTGAACCCGGATAACGCATAATAGGCGATATCCGTTCGAGACTCAAACGGTAACCAAATAGAAATCCGAGCACACCTACGTGCTCGTGAAAACCAGGAGATCATTTTAGAACCTGAAGCATGTCCATTTTCCTAGCCCACGCCCTGCCACACGCGCCGGTAGTGCGTGGGTGCCTTGAGTAATTTCTGGCGGCCAGAAAAACTCCAAACCACTGGCCAAGCTCCCTATCCTATGTGTAAAACCCCATTTGGAGTCACTTTTGTTCTTGGGCCTACCCCAAAAAATGGCCGGAAGTAGCCGGAATCACTATCTCTAAATCGGCCGAACCCTAAATCGAAAATCAAACAATCTACGCACAAAATTAATGAAATCCTACCCAACCATCTGCTAGAGCTCGAGGAATAGATGGATTTCCATACTTGAAGGGTAAGGAAATGACTAAGGATAAGGAAATGACTAAATTACCCCTACCCGAAGGGTAAATTCGTAATTTCAATTAAATAATTGAAATGAGTAATTAAATTTGGGGTCGGGGTGTTACACATTCCTCTGTCAAAATAAAGGTACCCAAAAAATTTAGCAATCTCTCTCTCTCTCTCTCTCTCTCTCTCTCTCTCTCTCTCTCTCTCCCTCTCTCAACGCCAAAAAATCCGCTCACCACTCTCTTCGACATCAACAAACCCTAACTAACAATTCACCCTATGTCTCTCTCCTCTCAATTCTGTCTCTTTCTTTGGAAGCCACCAAGGGAGATATGGACTGCCACATGCGAAATCTGAAGTCAATTTAGTGATTTTATTTGTGATTTTTGAGCCTTTTGACAATTGAGCGGAGAGGGTTGACGACACAGAGAGAGAGAGAGAGAGAGAGAGAGAGAAAGAGAGAAGGGAGAAGGTGGGGTTGGTTGGTTGGGCAGTGGGGCTGGTTGAGATGAGGGAGATGGTAGTGGGAGTTGACGATTAGGGATAAATTAAAAAAAAAAAGAAACTTTTTATATAGTTTTTTTAAAACCTATTTTAAATTTCAAGCATTTTTTATATTCAATTTGAATCTTTTAATTTTTTATAGTTAAATTTACCAAAATACCCATTCCACTTCAACTGATTTAACGATTTTTATTTGAAAACTAATAGAACGGGGCAACCTTGGTCACATAACAGACGTTCAAAGGGGAGATTGAGTCATTTGAAATATTAGAGGGCAAACTGAGACTATTTGTAACAACCCGATCCTTAAGTAATTTTTAATTATTAATTTATTCTAAGAACAGACCATTATACCCCTACAATATTTTATTAGGTTTAAAGTTGACTTTTTGACCAGGAAAGAATTTGGAAATTTTGATTGTATCGTTGCGTAGAGCACAACGAAACGAGTCCGTAGACACGTAATGGGCTCGAATCGGAGTTATAACGACGAAAATACTGTCAAAATACATTGAGGGGCAAAATGGTAATTTGTC